TTACAGACATATTTATTCCTCACGAGTGTAATATTTATTTTCTGTAGCTGGGCCCGTTTTCTGCTCATTAATGTCAGTGTGCTATGATGTTATCATCATGTATCTATGGTTCTAGATATCCTCTCTGCAATGCCCACAAAGGCCAAAATGACGAAAACTGCGTCACTCGGACGTATGCGCTCGTCAATAATCAATTCGTCGACGAATATTTGAATTCGCGTTCGTGGCCCATGAGTCTGAAGGAACATATCATCATTTACGAATGCCAAGTTCTATGGTGTGCTTAAAAAGCACAGTGGAAGCTTGGGGTCATTGCACCGGTGCCCTAGCATGTCACAACCGCGTGATTTCACAGTTCGCTTTGGAGTTGAGGATTACAGCTAAGCAAGAAGAAGTTAAAAAAATCATTTCATGGCCCCTTTAACACGGATATCTGTGCTACAACAGACAAGAATATTGACTTTTCGCATGCCGGTAAACTTCCGGACGACCACTTGACCTGTCGGCAAGAATACCTCATATCCGGCGTTCGTCTCTTTTGATGGCGTTAACAATCCTCTGGAGCCCACCATGCTGTCCTTCTTGATTTAACCACGTCGATTGTTCATCACCCAAACGAGGGTGAGACCGTCGTGGACGTCGCTCCTCGCCAGTAGGTGAGATAATCTCGTCTTGAATGGATGATTGGGTCTTGAAGAAATATGATGCAAGCATACATTCGCTTAACTATGGGGCAGTCGACCAGCTGTCATGTCCCGACGCAGGCACGCAACCAGGGGGGAAGGGGCCCGTGCCCCCCCCCCCCCCCCCCCCCGAAACAAAAACCTGGCTACGTGCCTATCCCGAGGCAATCGCCTTGTCGTGGCCGGCGTAATCGGATTTTGTTCCATAGGAGTGAAGTCTGAAAGTACAAGGACGGTACGTAGAGTACGTCCCACGAAGCGGCCGCCATGTCGGCGGCGCGGAAAACCACTCGCCTTCTCCGTGCACCTACGATAGTTAGCAGCTCTTGTCGCCCGACAGTCCCCGGGCTGCAAACCGTCTCACTTCACAGAACAAACAGGCACCGTTCCTCCAGAGGCCCGTGCCGTATCGCTATGCCAAGCGTCTTTTACCAACACCGGCGAAGACTCTCATTTCAGACTTCCGCTCTTTCTAGCGCATCAACAAGGGGAAAAGCGCATGCAGCCCTTTCTCCTCTTCTCTCTCGCTCTTAAAGTAGCACTATACACGATAAAATGGTCTACGGACCATTCCAGAAAAGCGCTACTGGACGGTGCCATTTTCAGCGTTCGTGAGTGTGGCGCGTACTTCGCTTGCCTTCCAAAGCGGCGAACATGCGCAGGCTGGGCTGTGACCTTACACATATAGACTAATTCTCGTAAGCGATGAAATATATACAATGAAATGAACCGCAGTCATGTAAGCCAGAGGCTGTTACCAAGATCGCGCTAAAATTACAATTAAAAGAGCATCCACAACCACCAGGCCAAACCTCACGGTGCAATGAATGACGTATAAAATACACAAATACACTATTTATCTTCAAAATAGGAATATCCGCTTGAATATACAATAGTGCGTGAAGTACAGATATGCATAATAAAAAGTTTAACTCAAAAGAAGTTAACAAAAGTAGCTCAGAAAAAAAATTTTTACCCATATTTATTTTTTTGACTGTTCGAATAGAATGCAATGCGTTCAAGCAATCATTTAGGAGTGTGCATGAGAAAAAGGTAATTCTTCAGGGCGTCAAGAAAAATTACTGTTTTTCTTTTTTTTTTTGTTTATTGCAAATATAAACTAGGCATTGCCAAACCCTCATTCTCCGCCCGAAGGTAGCGCTAGAGGCCAGAACCAGATGATAAAGTTTTAGCCCGATCCGATACCCTATTCAAAAGTTAGAAGTAATTTTCTGAAAATCACTTATAATCACTCAAAATGACGTCCAGCGCGTTTCTACTCCCTCAGACGAGTCCATTTCGAGAAGATTGCAACGCTGTATAACGAGGCCCGCCGAACCATCCTCGGACTCCCTCGACACACACGAACGTCGGAGCTTCGCAAGTGCCTGCACCTCGTCGACCTTCGAGAGACACTAGAGCAGTAACTCGACATCCGCATGGCCCGATTTGAGCATACGCTCCAGGGGAGGGCAGTTGCTCGTTTCATTGGAGTAGCTGTAACGAACATAAACGACCTACCGCCTACCAAGTTTCCATGGGATCTCATTGATCTCACGCAACATGCCCGGCCTGTCCCGCAAAATATGGATGCCAAGCGCCACGCCAAGCGTCGGGAGCGTTATGTCCGTCAACACCAAGCCGAGGTGACTGCATTATCTCGGGACCCTGCCCAGGTCATCGCGTATACGGACGCTGCCCTGCACACATCCGGTTGGTCTGGGGCAGCTGCGGTGTTGCCGTCCCATGGTCCTGCAGAGTGTGATCCTATCGTTGTTGCAAGCACCAACATGACCCTTTCATCGCCCGAACAAGCCGAAGCCCGCGCCGTCCTCCTCGCCCTCCAGACGTATGAGGTCAGGAATCTAGAGACCGGCATGCTTACGGTGTTCACGGACTTTCAAAACACGATTCACGCGCAAAACGCATCTACTCACATCAAGTCCGACAATCGCCGCTATTTACGACACCGCACTTTGTTTGTACCGCCATCGAAGCATCTGAGTCAGTATACGCTGGGTTCCAGGACATGCGGGCATTGACGGCAACGAGAAGGCCCACAAAGCTGCATCGGAGGAGCTGTATAGAGATTTCCCCTCCTCCCCGCGGACCTTACCGGTGCCTCCCACGTCGCCCAACGATGACCACTTTCCCGAAAACGAAGTCTTCGTGTACGACCCGGTCGATGATGTTCGCCTCGTCCGCCGGGACTGGAAATACCGACTCGGCGCCTCTTGGACCCCAGAACCGTTCCCAATACCCGAAAACACATTCCGTAGGCACCAGATGGTCCTGCTTCGACGCATTAGGACAGGTGGAGTGGTCACGCCTCATCATGTCTATCGCTTCGAGCTGACCCGGCGACTTAAACTTGACTTTTACTATGTCCCACCAGACCCTCGCTGCCAGCGATGCAAAGACCCAGATGCACTCCCGAAACTTCACCATCCCATTAGGGAGTGCGCCGCTCTGGTTGCCAAGCGTCAAGCAGCCTGGGCTACTCTTCTTCTAGAAGACCTTCCGACGACCATGCAAGAATAGGCGCATCCTGCCAGCGACTGCGAGCGCCGGACGAGGGTCCTGACTTCCATCCTCGACTTTGTGTGGCGGAACGGACTTGGGCCCTCGTCATAATGAAACGCATCATCGTTTCACGCCGCCAAGGACGTCGACGCCACGCTTGAGGAGACCACGCCGCGTCGGTCCCTTGGGCCGGGGTCGCGCTGCTCCTGCATCGTGCGGGGGACGGCCTGCGGACGCGAGTCGCCGCGGTGTTCGTGGTCGGGTGTCGCGTGCCGAGTTTCTCTTTGAACTTGTTGCCCCGCGCCATTCGGGGCACGGATTTCGCGGTGGCTCGCGCCCAAATATGTCTGGGGACTGTCTTTTGTGTGGTGCCTGACCGGCGTGGCCCCCGCTTTGGGCACTGGCATCTGTTCTTGGTTTAAATAAGCGTTGTCCTCGCCTCACCTCACCTCAGGGGGGTCACGTGACCTCAGGACGTCACGTGGTCTCAGGGGGCCACGTGACCTCAGGGGGGCCACGCCCCCTTAGGGGTCACGTGACCTCAGGAGGGTTACGTGATCTCAGGGGGGCCAGTGACCTCAGGGGGTCACGTCACCTCAGGGGGGTTATGTGATGTTAGGGGGCCACGTAACCTCAGGGTGGTCACGTGACCTCAGGGGGTCACGTGATCTCAAGGGGCCACGTGACCTTAGAGAGTTACGTGACCTCAGGAGGGGGCCACGTGACCTCAGGGGGTCACGTGATCTCAGGGGGTCACGTGATCTCAGGGGGTCACGTGACATCAGGGAGGGTCACGTAACCTCAGGGTTAATGTGACCTCAGGGGGTCACATGACCTCAGGGGGTCACGTGAGCTTAGTGGGGGGTCACGTGACCTCAGGGGGCCCCGTGATCTCAGGGGGGCTACACGCAAACTTGGAAAGAGCGAAAAAAAACAAGGCACGAGTAGTGAATGAACGCAATGCTCACCCACCTCAGGAGGGCCCGTGACCTCAGGGGCGTCACGTGACATGAGGAAGTCACTTGACCTCAGGGGGCACGGGACCTCGGAAGTTACGTGACCTTAGGGGGTCACGTGACCTTAGGGGGTCACGTGACCTCAGGGGGACACCTGACCTCAGGGGGGTCACTTGACCTCAGGAGGGGGTCACTCGACCTCAGGGGGTCACGTGATCTAAGGGGTTCAGGTGACATCAGGGAGGGTGACGTGACCTCAGGAGTCGCGTGACCTCAGTGGGAGTCACGTGACCTCAGGTTACGCCGACGGCGACGGCGACGCCCCTCAAGCGGGAAACTGGCGCCTAAGAGCTGCGCTATAAAAATTCACTACAATTCTTTTTTTCTGTGACACCCTGTATATACGATTTTTTTTTTTAAATTAAGTTTTAGTTTTGTACAGTTTCCATCAGCTGTAAGCTTACATGCCTCCCCTCAATTACATGAATATTTTCATGGTTTTAAGCCTTTTCAGCCCCCATATAACATTTCTCCGTAATATAATAAAATACACACTTTCCACGCCCTCTTCTGTGAGAAAATATTGCACGTCAACCATTTGACAAACCAGGCAACGGCTCTTTGCTATATTAATGGAGCTCAACACCTGCTTCATTAACCTCTGTAATACTAGACACGAATAGCAATCAATGTTTCGATCGAAAAGGAAGAAGAAGTCGAACTTATCGTTGCTGATCCTGAGCTCGTCTCTATATTTTTCCTTTTTAATCAAAGTTCTCACCTCCCTGGCCAGCCAAACGCAACAGTTTCTTCGAATTGAGTCGATCGCTCATCTGCCATGGCCGAGGCCGGCCCTTCCTCCGGCCAGGACATACCTTCAGTCGAAATGGAAGATCTGCCTATGGGTACGTCAAGTGCTTCGAGCACAATCTCCTACTACGAGAGCATCTCTGACGATCCCGGTGACGATTCCGACCCATATAACCTGGTCCAGAGTCGCAAAAAACGCAAAGCTTCCAGCAGCTCCGAGACAAGTAATAAGACCGTCAGAAACACGAAACAAGAACATCCCCACCTTGTAGTGGTACTGAAGCCAAAAGATCCATCCAAAATAATCGCCACAATCAATCCGCTGAAAATCACCGAGAAGCTAGAGATGACTGCCCCAGATGGAATCATCCTTGTCAGGCCAAACCGAAGGCTGAATCTACTTGCTATAGACACGAGAAACAGAGATGCGACAAAAGCTTTGCTTGCACTGACCACCATCGGAGGCATCCCTGTCCAGGCCTACGAGCCTTTTCCCCGTGAATCGGCCATCGGAGTTCTATACGGAGTACCGTCAGACATAAATGACACGGAACTTCAGGTGGCTATACGAGCTACGGCGCCTGTTATCTCCGTTCGTCGGCTAGGCACGTCCCAAGTTGTTAAGGTTGTCCTCAACACAGACATTTTGCCGGAATACATCACGATTGGATATACAAGATACAGGATGGAACCGTTTGTAGAGAAACCTCGCCAATGCTCGAAATGCAATGGGTTTGGACACATTCGAACCGCGTGCACGAAAGAGTCACGTTGCACACGCTGTGGAGGACCACATGAACGCACCGGCTGCAATGCAGACAACCCCCTCTGCACGAACTGCGGCAAAGCTCATGACTCGACATCTCATATTTGTCCGGCATACCAAAGAGAACAAAAGATATACAAGTACAAGAGCCAAGCTAAAGTTGGCTATGCGTCCGCGAAAGCGGCGCTGCTCGCATCGAAAGAACAACTGGCAGAAGAGACCCCTAAAACGACTGCGTCAAAGGAAAACAAACCATCTGCAGCTCAAGAGCTCCCAACGAGCGAAGACTCCTCATCATCCAAGCAGTCCAACCTGAGACACCTGCAGAAATACGCGAAGAAAAACACGAGTAATCCCCCAATCAAGTGGAACAGTGAAGATGAATTTCCAACTCTTCCCACACAAGTTGCAAAATCCACTGATAAATCAGAAGGAGAAACCAAACGACCCGAAAAGAAGTCTACACGACAGCAACCACCAATGTCTGAGGTCAAGATTCAGACAGTTGTCAATGTCATCCGCAATCTTCTTTGCTCTTGGGATTCGCCTATAGCCAAAGCGCTTATTACGTTGATTGATGCTGTCCTTCAATTCGTGATGCTCTGGTGTCACTAGATAAACTACGAAGTGAGGCCACTGTCCTTCAATGGAACGCAAGAGGTTTTCGAAATAGGCTGTCAAATTTTCGGCAATTCCTCTTCAAACACAAATTTCCTGTAGTAGCAATTTCGGAATCAAGAGTAGGACCTAACATCAGATTATCTGGTTATGAGCTTCTTCACTCCCACAGAGAAACCGGTCTTAGCAGAGTATTACTTGGCATTCGAAAAGATCTCACATTTATTGAGCACAATATTTCGTCCCATAGGACAAATGAATATATTGCTGTGACTATAAAAAAGGCGATATCTCATTCAGTGTTATAACTGGTTATATACCTCCTCGAGCAGAATTTTACACTAAGAGACTTGAAGCTATTCTCCAACAAACCCCGCCACCGCATCTTCTGACAGGAGATTTTAATGCTCACCACACACTGTGGGGAAGTGCGAAGAATAATGCTCGAGGAAGGGCATTACTTGGAATTACGCTAAGCCATGATCTTGTAATACTAAATGATGGAAGTCCTACATTCTTTAAAGGTGCATCAGTGAACAGCCCTTTAGATATTTCGTTTGCATCTTCAGGTCTTGCTGAAAAAACTACATGGTTCGCTGACATTGAAACTCACGGAAGTGACCATGCACCGACATACACCACAGTGAGAGGTCTGCGTTGTTCCAAACAACGCTTCTCGGTACCTTCTACCGACTGGAAAATATTTCAAGAAAAAATGGAAGCCGTCAGTTTTATGCTCACTGGAACAGAATCCTTTGTGAATGCCATAACATCTTCCACTTCAGAAGCAACAAAATATTTCAACGTGACAAACCCGCAGACAACGGTTGATGGAGAATATGAGCGTCTTCGTGCCATCCGTCGAAGGGCTGAACGAAAAGCAAGAAAAACACAAGACGTTGAAGATATTCAGGCCTCCAGACGAGCACAAAAACGTGTACAGCGGCACTTAGATAAACCTTTAAGAAGACGCTGGAGGTCACTGAGTTCCGGCCTTGATCCCAGGAAGCCAACTACCCGAATATGGCACATCACGCGAAGCCTCAGTGTAAGGCCAAAGCAAATTCACCCCTTCAGAGCCATTTCTTTGAGACGGCAAATACCCGAAACAGTCGTGGCAGAAGAGTTCTGCAGAAAGATTACAAGCTGCCCCTCCGGTAACAATCACAGCAAGGGTGCCCCAGATGGTCACGTCCCTGTAAGTGCATGTAATTCCATGGACGACCCTTTCAACTTAAAGGAACTAGACGTAGCACTTGCTACATCCAACACTAAGTCCTGTCCAGGTCCAGATGGCATACGCTACTCAGCTTTACGTCACTTGGGGGAAACTGCTAAAATGGCCCTACTCACTTTATTCAATACCTCATGGGAGACTGGCATTATACCCCAAGATTGGAAAATCGCTGGCGTAATACCAATTCTCAAACCAGGGAAACTACCACTCGATATCAATTCATATCGCCCGATCGCATTAACTAGCTGCATAAGCAAAATAATGGAACGCATGCTGCTTGCACGCATGGAGTGGGATCTTGAAAATAGATGCATTTATCCTTCATCCATGAGTGGTTTCCGACGTGGCAGATGCAGTATTGACAACGTTATAGATCTAGTGTCTAGCATAGAGCAAATGAAATCAGTCAAGCAGGTCACCACCGCAGTATTCGTTGACATGAAAGCAGCCTTCGATTCGGTAGAACACGAGGCCATACTTTCCGACATGAAGGCGATTGGTTTCGGAGGGCGCTTATTTACATGGATTTCCAGCTACCTTAAAGAACGAAAAGTCTATATATCAACACAAGATGGCAACACTGACTTCCATGAGGTCAAACAGGGGGTTCCCCAAGGTGGGGTACTCAGTCCAATGCTGTTCAGCATATGCCTTATAGGCCTTCTGAAGGTACTCCCTGTTTCTGTGCATGTATCTTTATACGCTGACACTGCCGCACGGTACCTTAGCAGCCGAGGCTTGTACATATCACCAGAGAAGTCTGCGGCGTTGGCGTTTACAATGAAACAAACATACAAATACCCCATTAACTTAGAAGGAACCCCAATCCCATATGTCTCCGAACATGCATTTTTGGGCGTGACTCTCGATAGGCAAATGACGTGGGGACCCCATATTAAACGGTTAAAGAAAAAGCTCCCCTCGTTTACACATATAATCAAGATGATCAGTGGAACCAGATGGGGATGCTCTGTATCGGCGCTGATGGCTCTGTATAACGCTTTATTTGTCGGTCTTATGCGCTACACTTTGCCAGTCATGCAACTTGTCTCGCGGTCTTGTTTTAAAGAACTTGAAAGCGCGCAAGCTCAAGCACTTCGTGTCTGCTTTGGATTGCCAAAATATACCTCCACCTCTGGAACTCTGGCGGAATCTCGTGCGAAATCTCCCGCAATATTAAGGACGCAAGAAACACTGCGAGCTCATCTACGACACAAAACCAGAGTGTACAAACACCACCTGGTAGACATTGTCAAATATAGACCATCATCTGGCTTTGCGCAAGTTATTATGGTACTAGAAGACTATATGCCAAGTTCAATTGAGGCAGCTGCGATTCCACAATATCCACCTTGGAAGTACCCTCACTTGGAAATAAGAACAAGCATACCAGGAATCACTAAAAAAAATTCAACTCCTTCCCCGGTAATTACACAAATATCTCTCGAATATATTCAAAGAACTTACGAGTCATTTACTCATATCTACACCGATGGTTCTACGATTCCCACATCTTCAGCCCTGGGGGTATACATTCCATCCACAGCCACATACATAAAGGCTAAACTAAGCCACGCCACCTCATCAACAGCGACAGAACTAGCAGCTATTCGTGCAGCTGTTGTACACGCGGGCACTGAAAGCCCACGATGTTGGGCAATACTTGTCGACTCCAGGTCTGCGTTGTACGCTCTATCTTCGATAAGAAAAGACAACATTAACTCACAACTAGTCCATGATATTTTACAGGCTATTCAGTATGCATCGCATCAAGGACATCACTTCATCTTCCAGTGGATTCCGGGCCACTCCGGGATAATTGGAAACGTGTGCGCCGATAGAGCCGCTAAAGACGCCCACGAGAGCACAATTTCCGTATCTATTCCGTTTTCAAGATCTGATGCCAATCATTTAATCGAATCTATCGGAAATGAAATCTCCCTATCTTTATGGGAAAATCCGCAATATTACTATTACAGCCTTCACCGTATTGATCCTAAACTCGAATTCCGGATACCACGAGGACTACCAAGGAAACTTGAGACGGTGTTACATCGTTTGCGGCTCAATGTTGCATATACTAAATACTATCTTCATAAAATTGGCAAAGCTGAATCTTCCGATTGTTCATCGTGTAGAACAACTCATAACATCGAACACGTCCTGTGTGCCTGCGGGGATTACAGTATTGAAAGGACCGCACTGAAGACTCGCCTGAAATTAAAGGAAGAGGACCAGGTAGACTTGAAGCTTCTGTTTGGACCCTGGCCTTCCACCACAGACAGTTACAAGGCCACTGAAGCTCTTTTACATTTCATTAAGAAGACACATCTTCAACAAACACTTTAAGGAACTGCAGTCCAGTGTGCTGCAAAGTGAGCCAACACTTGCCAACGTAACAGTTTTGTGAGTTTGTATGTGTGTGTGTATTGTGTGCGTGCGCATTTTTTTCATCTTTTTATCTTTTTTCTTTGTATCTTTGCTATCTTTGTCTATACTATTTCTTTTTATTTCCTTTTTTTTAATTTCATCTTCTTTCACAGCGTAGCAAGCCGGCACAAAGCGCTGGCTGACCTCGCTGTCTTCCTTTCAATAAATGCTAATTCTCTCTCAATCAATGTGTCGAAAGTCAGGTCTAAACTCAGACCTGAACTTTGTTTAGACGTTTCGCTTCTCGTCTTCAACAGATCGGCCGGTCGAGTGGAACTCCGAGGGTAGCCCGAGCCCACACCTCCTAGACAGCTTTCAAAGCCTGCGCGTCACGTGACATGACGTCACGCTCTGAAGGTCTTAGCGGGGAAACGTTTCCGCTAGATATAGCGGGAAAGGTTTTCCCCTAGATTTAGCGGGGAAATTTCTCTGCTAAATTTAGCGGGGAAATGTTTCTGCTAGATTTGGCTGGGAAATTGTCTGCTAGATTTAGCGGGTAAATTTTTCTGCTAGATTTAGCGGAGAATTTGTTCCGCTAGATTTAGCGCTGAACTTTTCCACTAGATTTAGCGCTGAACTTTTCCACTAGATTTAGCGGGGAAATTTTTCCGCTAGAAATAGCGGGGAAATTTTTCCGCTAGATTTAGCGCGGAAATGTTTCTGCTAACTTTAGCTAGGAAAGTTTCAGCTAGATTTCGCGGGGAAATGTTTCCGCTAGATTTAGCGTGGAAACTGTTCCGCTAAATTTAGCGGGGAAATTTACCCATAATTCACCGCGCGGTTACGCCCACGGGAGCGGCGCTCTAAAATGAAAGCCGTTTGCAACTCCCTGTAATGCCGGATTAGAGCGCAGCTCTTGAGGAGTGGATGGAAGGGTACTGAGGGATAGGTGACTCCCTGAAGTCACGTGCCTCATGGGGTTACGTGACATCAGGGGGTTTACGTGACCTCAGGGGGGTCACGTGACCTCAGGAGGTGACGTGACCGGGGGGTCACATGACATCAGGGGTCACGTGGCATCAGGAAGTCACGTGACCTCAGGAGGGTCACGTGACCTCAGGGGTAACCCTCATGACCCTCGTGAGGATAACCTTCGTGACCCTTGTGGGGGTAAACAGCGTGACCCTCGTGGGGTAACCATAGTAACCCTTGTGAGGGTAACTCGCGACCCTCGTGAGGGTAACTCTCGTGACCCCCATGAGGGCAACTCTCATAACCCTCGTGAGGGTAACTCTCATAACCCTCGTGACCCTCGTGAGGGTAACCCTCGTGAACATCGCCAGGGTAACCCTTTTGAGGGTAACTAACCCTGCTAAGCCTCGTGAGGGTT